GTCCTCCGCAACCTGCGAAGCTCCGGGTGAGCCATCGTGTTGATGTCCCGCTTGCTTGCTTGTGCATGCTTGTGCATGCCACTTGGCATGCCTTTGAGTGCATTTGACCTGCCTTTGCCACGTCGACTTCCCACCATGCTCCTTGTAACAAGCGTTTTGATCCCACCGCGCGCGACCTGCTGCTGCCTTGCCCCACTCACATCACATCACACACCTGGCAGGACCTGTGATTCGATCCAGTTTCACCACCTGCAGGAGCTCACGTTAACGCGCTACGGCGTTCGCCTGTCGCTTCGCGATCTTCGCCTGGACACGCTGCAGCTTGCTGCTGTACTGTCCGGTTGCGATTACCTTCCAAAGCACTCCGGTATGAGTTATGCACGTGCTTGGCCTTACGTGTTTGCCTGTGTGTATGCCTGCGCGTCTGTCTGTGCATGCTTGCATGTATGCGCGCTTGTAAGCGTGCAAGTGTCTGTCTGTGTGCACGTGTGCACTTGCATCCCTCCTCCCCTATCTCTCTCTGTCTCTCTGTCTCTCCCTCCCCTATCTCTCTCTCTGTCTCTCTGTCTCTATCTCTCTCTTCGTGTGCTCGTGTGCGCCAAGTACTCACGCATTGCTGCCCCTTCCCCTGCTCACCAGGTGCGCACATTCACGGGATCGGCATGCGCACGGCGATGTACGTCACACACAAATACAAGACCTACACCGACATCATGCAGCACCTCAGGCAGAAGTACATCATAACCGACGACCTCGACGCAAGGGTAAGGCATGCTATGCTTGCCTTTGCCTGCCAGGTCGTCTGGGACGACACTGAGAAGGCAAGGCGCAGGCTGCCACCACTTGCACCAGAGCCGGCCGACGACGACGGCGACAGCGCCCATCCTGCCACAACCCCTCTGTTTGAGTTCACTAGCGACCCTGCAAACGAGGTATGATATTGCAGTGTCTTGCGTGAATGCCTTGCGTGGGGGGTTGCAATGTCTCGCGGAGCGTGCGCCTGCTTGTACGGCCCTGCTTTGATTTGTATCGCACAACCACTGTGCGCCACTCACGTCTCACCGACATGTTTGCAACCAACCACATTAGGGGCACACGGTCGCCGGAGTGGTGCACGTGGAGAATGCCGTGGAACGCGCACGTGGACGCGCAGACCCTGACACGGGCCACACCTGCCACAGTGTGCGGCTTCGCCCGGCTCTCAAAGCCATCGTATCCGACATGCGGAATGGCCGACTTGAGACAACATCACACGTAAGTCTCAACATGGTTACGTATGCCATCGCCCGTGTGTGGTGCGCCGCGCTTGCTGTGCCTGAAACCCTGAGATTTCCCGCTGTGGACTTATGTACCATCCGGTGACGTTTTTTGTATGGTGACGCAGCGTACGCGGCGTCCAGGGCGCAAGCCTCACGATCGCAATGGACGTGACGATTGTGGCAAGAGCACCAAGCAGGGAAAACGTGGGCAGAAGCGACGCGGTCAAGATCAGAACAAGAACCCAAGGTTTGCTCTTGCATAGCCTGCCTGCTGCGCTATGTTGCATGCGTTGTGTTTGTGCTGCGTGAACCGCTTGCCGTCTGCACCTGTGACTGAACCCTTGTCGCTTGGCCCTGCGCCCGCTCACACTTTGCCCTCTTCCAACTGCAATTATCGATGTTGGTGCACAACAGGGTGGCGGTCCTTATGCCCTTCAAGCGGCTTGGAGTGGAGCTGGAGCGCTCAAAGGTGCTGGAGATGTGCAGGTATGGCCGACAATGCGCTGAACTGCCTGACTGCTCTCTTCACTGCACCATGCACCCTTCATCCCACTCTCGCACTTCATGCGAGGTTTGTGCCCGCGTGCGCAATCACACGCTCATGCATGCGCACACCCGCCCTGCCTTGTCACGCACATCCACGCTTGACGCAGGTATGCTGGGCAGATGAAGTGCACTGCAACCACGGCACTCTACCTACACATTCTGCGCACTGCGGAACAACACCACCGGGAAATCCTCTCCACTCTGGCGGACCTCGCCCAGACCACAAGAAAGGAAATTGTGGAGCGCAAGGTCGCCTTCCGCGAGGCCCAGGAGCGTGCCGAAGGCGTCGAGGACCTCAAGAAGAAGAAGAAGAAGAAGAAGGACCACAAGAAGTCCCGAGCGGCGTCGCCGTCTGACAACCCGTGCAAGAGGGCAAAAGGTGCAGCAGCAACAACAGCAGCCACAGCAACAACACCGCCCGCCACTGCAACAACAGTCACAGCAGCAGCCACAGGCAAATCCCCAAGACCTGCCTACTGCTTCCAGCACTTGGCGCCACAGCTGACAGCAGACAAGCTAAGCAACCTCTTCACCACACTGCGCAACCACAAAAAACATAGCCAGCATCCGATGCTGTCAATCCTCCGACAGCACGGCGTGGGGATACCGGACCCACCGAAATGGATGACGGCCACCATGGTATGTCTGTGCGAATGCTTGCGTGTTTGCCTTGTCTGCTTGATGATCCTACTCCCATGCCTGCTGTTGCCACATCATGCATCGCGGTGTGTGTCCCCGCTCGACCAACGCGACACACACAACCAACTCATACACACGCACACACAACCAACTCACACGCGCGCATGCATGTGCTCATCCTCACCACTTAGGCATACAAGCTCCTGAACCTGGCGTCCAAAGAGTTCACCCCGCTCCTCCAACGGGATCTCAAGAACAAGGCAAGAGCTGCTCAACGGCAACTGAAGAAGGTGGCGGAGCACCATGACGAAGGCGCGCGCTTCGCATGTGAGCACACGGCCGAGCTGGCCCTCTACATCGGCGCCGCGCAGCATCTTGCGAGGACCCTTGCACCGCCCGACACCGACTTGACCTCGCTCAAGATATTCCCCACATTCACAAACAAGCACCCTTTCATACAACTAGACGCAGGACTACTACGGGACCTGACCTGCTTCAAGTGTGGCCGCCTCGGCCACTCCCAGCGCCAGTGCCGACAGCCTGCCGCAGTGCGGCCACCGCCAAGGCAAGCTCTGTCCCTCCTCGATTTCCTCGGAGCAGACGTGGCCAGGCAGTTCCGGAAGCGTCGCGTCACGTCCATCAGGACGGACGGCTACACGGCATACCTCCTGGTGGAGCCCAGCGCGCGCCGCGACACCGTCTGCGACACCAGCCCCATCACACCCGTGGTTGGGGTCGACCCAGGCACCCGCATCCCGCTTGCCTGCGTTCGGATCCAAGATGGCAAAAAAATGATTGTGTCGCAGAAGCGAATAGTGAACCAGCTTTATACGGGGCGGGGACGGCGACACCACAAGCCAACGGCGACAGTGCCAGCAAGGTCAGGGGGTAGCGACGAGGGTGGGGAGCAGGGAGGGGCGATGGGGAAGGGGGAGACGGGGTCACGCAGGAAGAAGAGGGAGCGGGGCAAGCGGACGAAGAGGGAGAGGAGCAGGCGCAGGAAAGAGAAGGCACGGATTGAGAAGGAGGAGCAGCTGAGACGACAGCAGCAGGAGGAGCAGGGAGGCAGGGACAAGGGAGAGGGGCAGGAAGGCAGGGACAAGGGAGAGGAAGAGCGGGAGCAGCGAGAACGGGAAGAGCAGGGCGGGGGTGCGGAGCCAGGGAGCGTGGACGATGTGGTTGCGTCTGCGAGGGAGTGTTTGAGGGAAGGTGTGAGCAGGCGAGAGTTGAAGTGGAGGCTTCATGAGAAGCTGAAGCACTGTCGCTTCCGAAGCAGAGTCGCCGGCGAGCTTGCGACACGCTTTGGACGCGACTGTCGGGTGTTCTTCGGAGACTGGTAAGCACACACACACACACACGCACACACATACACACGCACAACAATGCACCCTTGCCCACATCCAACGGTCACGCCACACCGACAAAAGCCCAACTGAACTCGCCTCTTGCCTCTCTTGCCTCCTGCTCCCAGCGTCCATAAGGGTCGCGGCGGAGGGACAAAGGCTCCCATCCTGGAGCTACGCCGCGCCATCGGCTGCCGGGTCGACACAAAAATTGTGGAGGAGTTCAGGACGACAAAGTATTCCCTCTGCTGTGCCTGGCCAAACCGCATTGACGAGCAAACGAGGTATGTGCATGAATGTGCGTGGTTGTGTGTGTGCGCATGTATGTGAGAAGAGGGTGCGGATATGCGTGGTTGTGTGTGTGCGCATGTATGTGAGAAGAGGGTGCGGATATGGGTGGTTGTGTGTGTGCGCATGTATGTGAGAAGAGGGTGCGGATATGGGTGGTTGTGTGTGTGCGCATGTATGTGAGAAGAGGGTGCGGATATGCGTGTGTGCGCATGTGCGTGTGTGCTCATGCACGTGTGTACGCAAATGGTTGACAGGATTGCCACGTGTACGCACTGCGGTGCGTCTGCTGACCGAGACGTTGCTGCCGCAAAGACCATCGCTGCGAGGTATGGTTCCATGTAGGCGAGCGTGTGCGTGTGTATGTGAATGCGTGTGTGTCAGTATGTATGCGTGTGTGCACGTGTGTATGCGAGTGTTCACGTGTGCATGTGTGTACATGTGAGTGCATGAGTTTGTGCGTGAGCGCATGTGTGTGTGTAAATGCGTATGAGTGAGTGTAAATTGTATATAAGTGTGTGCATGTGCGAGTGCATGTGTGCACACGTGTGTGTGTGTGTGTGTTGTTCCGCAATCTCACCGCAATCGATGCGCCCGTGCCTTGTGGGTGTGCAGGTCCTTGGTGGAGGAGGCAAACGGTGAGCTTGGTCCGTGGCGTGGGTCCTCCGAGCCGGACCGTCCTGATATGGATAACGGGCTGGTGACAGTGTCGCGCCGCATGTGTCGCGAATGGAGCATAGCAAACGTGGGATGATGCTGCTGCTGCTGCTGCTGCTGCTGCTGCTGCTGCTGCTGCTGCTGATGTTGTTGTTGTTGTTGCTGCTGCTGCGTTCATCTTCGTGCTGCTGCTCTTGTTGTCGTGTTGTTGCAGATGACTGCCGTTGCTTGTTGAAGCAGAATCCCCACACTAACGCCCCTCACACAAGTCTCATGCACGTGTGATGAACCTTGCCTTACACAGCATCGGCACCATCTGGGCCTCTAGCCTGGATGGTCTGGCGGCACACTCTGGTGCTCCAGAAGGGCTCACGCGTTCTTCTGGACCCGGATGAGGTCGCCATCCTTCCTGTCGGTCCGTTGGGCTGGCAGGAGGAAGGTATGTTGTGGGGGTTACCACGCCACTCGTTGTCGGTTCGGGTGCCATGCATTCAGTCAGTCAGACAGCCAGTCACGCCCTGTGTTGTGGTTGTGAACGATGGCATCAGAATGGACCCAAACTCGTCGCTCACGCATACACACGCACATGCACACACACGCACACGCGCGCGCACGCGCACGCACACGCACATGCACATGCACACGCACACGCACGCACACACACACACACACATGCACACGCACACATACACGACGCACCTGGTTGAACGGACTGCGACTCGCACCGTTCCATGACTCTGGACGCTCCAACCAACAAACTCGTGGAACTGCGCCGGAACGGATGTCTCCCGCGTGCTGGCGTCCGCCTTGCTCTTGCCCTCGCCTTCGCCCTCTTCATTGTCTCTCCGCTCATCTGTTCGTGCGCTGGATATGATAACAATGATGCGTGTTCCATGTCGTCCTCTTGCTCTCTTGCTGGCCGTGCGATTCGCGTGCCTGGCCATTCGTTGTCTGCTTGCTTGCTTGCTTTGTCGCCTCTCCTTCTCTCCTTCATTGCTTGCTCTGGTGATTATCCTTCTTCCCCCCGTTTTTTTTTTTCTTTTTGCGATTCGATGGGTGCGCAGACCGCGGTCGTGCGCAGTTCAAACCTCGTTCTGCGTGTCGCCCGCGGTCACATGGCAATGCCAAGAACCATGTTTCTTCTCTCGACACGCTGGCACCTCTTCTTGTGCAGTCGTACCACTTCACGGGCACTCATGTCACGAGACACACGCGTTTAAACACATACACATACACATACACATACACATACACATACACATACATATACACATACACATACACATACATGCACTTTTGTACACACTCTCTCGAGCTCTCTGTGCTTCAGTTAGGCGGTGGAGGAGGACAGGCACTGCTGGGTGATGCACGACAGCGTGTCGCGCAAAGGGTGGTCGGGCCAAAGCTTGGCCATGACAGTGAGAAAGGCGTCACAGAACCCGTCAAAGTTGAGGTTTGCCTTTGGCAGGTTGTGTGCCCGAATCGCGTCGAGATAAATCAAGTCACAATCGCTATTGCTCTGTCAGCATGGAATGGTTAAAATGTGTGAGCGAGCAACACAAAAAGGCAACGCAGCACCAGCACAGGACGAGCTCATGTCAGCCAGTGTGGTAGCCGAAGATGATTCACGCAAACAAAGAAAGAAACCCAGTCAAAAGCCAAGCACACACACACACACACTCTCTCTCTAACACACACACACACACACACACACACACACACACACACACACACACACACACACACACACACACAACGTACAATGTGATGTGTCGGGGCGGGGTCGCAACGGAAGCTGGCGCGCAGCAAGGTCCGGAAGTTGGAATTTGACATGACGTCCTTGTTCCTGCAAGCATGACAACCACAGCAACACAAGTGCAGGGAGGGGGTGAGAAATGGGAGTGGTTAAGCCACACAAGAGCAGTCATGCACGCAACACAACACAACACAACACAACACAACACAACACAACACAACACAACACAACACAACACAACGCACAAACACAGCACAACACACAAATACAACAAAATACACAACACAACAAATCACGCCACACTACAACACAAGGGCACGAACGACCAAACGCACCTGCCACAGTAGCGAGCAAACAGGTCTCGCAGGCCGTTGAGGATGCGCTGTTCCTCTTTCCCCGCAATCACCGCCAGCTCGTGCAAGGCAATGTACCCAAACGTCAACTCCTGCCCAGCGCCATGCGTCTTCTTCTTGTGAGGAGACGATGACGACGATGTACATGGAGATGAGGCCGCAGCGGCTTGGTCGACGCCGCCGCTGCGGTGCTTGTCCAAGGGCGTGTTGTGTCGACCAACAACACGAGACGCCACCGTCTTTGCGGGGGATGATGGCGTGGAGCCGCCACCCTTTGACCTCTGCTGCTGCTGGTGCTGTTGGTGCTGCTGGTGCTGTTGGTGCTGGTGCTGGTGCTGCTGTGGTTTGGTGGGTGTCTTGTCTGATGTCTTGCCTTTGGTGTCGTGGTTTCGGCGTGCGCGCGCCGGCGATGAGCGAGGGCGGCCTGGGCGCGCAGACGGGGATACGCCCCTCCGCTGCTGCTGCCGTTTCGCGCGCTCTTCAATCAACCGCTTCCGGCGATCGTTGGCCGTCTGCCGTGCCTCAAGCTGGATCGGATTGAATGAACGACGAGAGGAGGAAGAGGGGGGCACGAAATGAGCATGTGCTATGGTGGTGGTGGTGTTGTTGGTTGTGTGTTTGTGTGTGTTTGTGTGTGTTTGTGTGTTTGCGCGTGTTTGTGTTTGTGTGTTTGCGCGTGTTTGTGTGTGTTTGTTTGCGCGTGTTTGTGTGTGTTTGTTTGCGCGTGTTTGTGTTTGTGAGTGTGTGTGTGTGTTTTTTTTTTTTTGTGTGTGTGTGTGTGCTCTTCTTGTTGTTGATGGGGCAAAGATAATTCGGCACCGTGTTTCAAACAGCGCGAAAGCCAGCCAAGCAAGACACAATTCCCTCAACATCAAACCAAGCGTGACAGCAGCGCAGTGACCCCTACCTCTCGTTGTCTGGTTTTCTCCTTGAACTCCTTCAGCCGCTGCTGCCGCAACATATGCAGGTCGTGGTCCCGCTGCGATTTGGACACGGGCTCCTGCACACTCCCCGGATCTGATCGCGACACGCATTGGGGCAGGAAGAGGGGCGATGGTGACGATGGCGACGTGATGGCAAGGCAAAGGGTGAGGAGACGCCGCGGTTACGGGGGTGAGTTGAGGGGAGACACAGTACAATTGTAACACATTGCACTTTGAGGGAAAAGGCGGTGATGGACTCGCAAAACGAGAGGGACAACAGCAACAACAGCAACGGCGATCGAAGCAGCAACGGTGACATACTTTCGAGATGCATTTTGTGGAGTTTCTGCATGAGCAGACACACGCCGTCGCGCACGACAGGGATCTTGATGGCGGCATCAACTAGAAGCAAGCACATCAGCATTACGAGTGCATGTGTGGTGGTGGTGGTGGTGGTGATGATGGTGGTGGTGATGGTGGTGGTGATGGTGGTGGTGGGCGTTGTGATGGATCAACTTTCACGGTGAGCAAGGCCGCTGTGGGTATTTCATCTACGAGGCAATGCAGTTGTGTCAAACAACACGCGTCCCCTCACAAACAAACAATATACACACGCACACTGTTTGTGCCGCCACAATACAACCGCTCCACATCACACACCTTGGGAATACTCATAGGAGACCTGTGCGTACCCCTCTGGTGTGAACGTCTTCACCTCCGCATCAATGCGCAGCGATGGATTCGCGTTAATCTCAATCAGATACGGCTGCAGGTTCTGTCGGGGGTGCAGGTGGAAGAGAGAGGGTGTGGACGTGTGTGTGTGTGTGTGTGTGCAGGTGAGTGTGTGTGCAGGTGTGTGTGCGTGTGTGCGTGTGTGTGTGCAGGTATGTGTGTGCAGGTATGTGTGTGTGTGAGGGGAAAGGGGAAGACAACCACACGTGCGCAGGAAGGCATGGCAATTGTGAATGAGCGCGTGTGGATGTGTAGGAAATTGTAGACGTACCACGGAAAACACCACACCAAGCCAAATACCACGCAAAACACACTCACTTCGTCCACGAGGACATCGAATCCAACGAGCTGGAAGCACTTTGGTTGCATGGACGGGTGCTGGTGGCAGTGTGCAGATGATGTAATGGGAGGATCATGGATTGTGATTTGCACGGAAACAAAACAGCTCACTGTGAATCATGCAAGTTGAAATGGGAGAGAAAAAACTTCCATCCGAGCGACACGCACATACACATCCACAGACAGAGAGAGAGAGAGAGAGACAGAGAGAGAGAGAGAGAGAGAGAGAGAGAGAGAGAGAGAGAGAGAGAGAGAGAGATACAAACCTACACACACACAGAGACAGACATACAGACACACCTTTGGGAGTGTCTTCTTTGCCTCGAACGAGAGGAGCGGTGCAAGCGCCATTGTCGTCTTGCTAACAATTGCAGAGACGCGCGACCACAGCAGTTGGATGTCCAGTCCTGATCACGTGAACCAAACACACACACACACACACACACACACACACACACACGCATGAAAAACAATAATGGAGGGGACGAGAGCACGAAAAGCCAACCCATGTCGTGAATGTTCGTTTGTTTCATCGTCGGCATGCATGTCATATAACCATCATCGTGACACCTACACAACATGCACCCGCCAACACCCATCGCGAACACCACTACCATCGTCATTGCGTGCGTACCGTCTGCTGCGAGCCGGTTCATCACAGATGTCAGCGTCCTGCATTCGCATGAGCAAAACACATCGCGCGTGATGTTTGACATGAGATGAATCAAGCACGCGCATGCAGAACTGCACACAGTCGACAAAACAAGCTCACACACACACACACACGCACACAAACAAACAAACACACACACAAACAAACAAACAAACACACACATCTTCGTGCGCACCTTTTGCTTCCCACGTCGTCGTCGTTGAGGGCGCCGTCGGGATCATCGCGTCGGAACATATGAACACTCGCATCCAGCGGCTGCACATGCACGGGAGATGATGCACCATCCCTGCCCTGCTGCCGTTGTTGCCGTTGTTGATGCGGTTTATGCTCGTCCGCTCGCTCGCCCTCTCCTTTCCCTTCCTTTACTTCCTCTGCTTCCTCCTCCTGCTTCTGCTGCTTGTGTTGTTGTGGAGATGACGACGGCTGTTCTCCTTGCAGTTCCACATCGCTCACGTGCGTTTCTGCAGCAGCACCAAGCGCGTCGCAGTCCACTTCCTCCACAACTTCCCCATCCGTGCCATCCTGCTTTGACCGATCTTCAAGCAGCTCAAGAAGGTCAAAGCTCAGGTCGTCGTCATCGTCATCCCCACTTGGCGAGCTCACCGTGGACGTAGTCGAGGGCTTGGTACTCTTTTGCTTGGGCTTGTCCACGTGTTGCTGTTGCTGCTCCCCTCCTTCCTGCTGCTGTTGCTGCCGCTGCTGTTGTTGTTGCTGCTGCTGCTGCTGTTTCTGGTTTTGGTGTGAGGCTGAGCTACCATCGCTTGCCGCGTCCTCACCTCCACCATTCGCCTTCTCCTCTTCAACGTGCACGACGGCATCATCATCGCCACCAGCATCAATACCACCACGATCACCGTCACCGTTGCTCTCCTGCTCTGTTTGCGCATATCCGTCACCAGCACCGTTCTGTGGACCATTTCTCAACTGAACAATCCGCGGGGAAGGCTGTGTTGACGGCGCTGTGAGCGGCGCGCGTGGTGACGCTGCGCCCCGCGTTGCCTTGTGAGAAGACGTACGGCCTCCCTCTTCTTCATCTTCGTTCTCTTTCCCAGACGAATCACCACCACTGCCACCACTGCCACCATTGCCACTGCCACTGCTGCCGTTGTCGTTGTTGCTGTTGCTGTCAGTTCGCACAAAGTCCTCTGAGTTCTTGTTGAGCGTGTAGTTGGTGAGATGCATGAACGTCTTGGCCATGTTGTCGTCGGTTGGTGGTTCATATGGCATTGTGCAGAACCGCGCCATCCCCTCGCGATGCAAGTACACCTGGCAATTGTAAACATGCGTGGCACACGGGAATGAGTGAGGATGCGTATGGGTGTGAATGTACTTGAGCGTATTTGTGTGACTTGAGTGGATTTGTGTGCGCTTGTGTGTGAAAGCGTGAATGTGTGAATGTGTGTGCGCCCAGATAGTGTGCAGACCTCAAGAGGAGCGACACTGGTGATGAGAGCGTAGATGCGGAGATCAAACTTGAAACCATCCATGAGCAATGGGTTTGCAATGTAGTCCTGAATCACATGCTCGCGCGTCATCCCAGTGAACCTGGGGTCGCGCGGATCCTGTGATATGTGTGCATATGTGTGTGATACGTGTGTGAGATTGCGTTTGCGTTTGCGCCACGTTGTCGGCAGCAGTTCATGACGCATGTGTGTGTGTGTGTGTGTGTGTGTGTGTGTGTGTGTGTGTGTGTGTGTGTGTGTGTGTGTGTGTGCGTGTGTGTGTGTGTGTGTGTGTGTGTGGAGACTGGAGAACCTGAAACTGGCAGCGTGAACGGCAACGTGCTTCAGGACAACAAATCGCAAGCATGACCGCCACCGCAACCACTGCGTACCTTTGTGAGGAAGATGCCTGTGCCATGTGCACCATCGTCTGGCTTGACAATGTAGATCCACTCCTTGCTCGCTGCAACCTTGCCTGCTCTCTGCGCGCGAGTGCGGCGGTCGTGCGCGCGGCAAAACTGCTCGTATTCGCTCGGAAATTGCCACGTGCGCGGGCAAAAGTCAAAGCTCTCCGGGAACAGGCGGCGTGTTCGCTGCAGGATGCGCGCAAGAGGTACCTGCAGCACAGGGGCGTGTTTGTGTGTGCGTTTGTTTGTTTGTTTGTTTGTGTGTGCGTTTGTTTGTGTGTGTGTGTGTGTGTGTGTGTGTGTGTGTGTGTGTGTGTGTGTGTTTGTGTGTGTGTGTGTGTGTTTGTGTGTGTGAGGTTGAATGGATAAATGCGAGATCGCACATGGTCGGGTGTAGTTCTATCCTTGAAGACAGAACATCCAACGCAGATGCCGTTGTTCAACGTCACAGTTCACCCCTGCAACCCCACACCCGACAGTGACAATAATGCAGGCCTGTTCGCGTTTAGCTTCACCTTTCGAGCGGCGCGGAAGAGACCCGGGATTCTGCTGACCCACGTGTTGACGACGTTGGTATTCTTGACCTCCTTGAAGGACCCACAGCACCTGAAGCACAAATCACCACAATCACGCACCGCCATGAACGCACCACGAGACACGGTTATTCGCACATGATAAAACACAACTACACACACACACACACACACACACACACACACACACACACACACACACACACACACACACACACACACACACACACACACACACACACACACACACGCACGCACACACACAACAGGACAACGTCACGCACCAGTACATGCTGCAAGGGTGTTTCGTCTTGAATGGGACTTCCTTGCACTGAAGTTGCTCAATCGAATGTCGCAACACCTGTCGAGCACAGTGGCATCAGAGTGAGTACCAACGTGCACTTTGGAAGTGATGAAAAGAGACAAGAACACGAAATTTCGACACACACGCACACACACACACACACACACACACACACGCACACACACACACACACACACACACGCACAAACACATAAACACATACTTACGCACACACACACACATACGTGCGTGCGCGCAAACACATACACACACACGCACCAGCTTTGTTGATTTGGCGAGGCTGGTGCTGATGGTAAAAGCCTTGCGGAATGAGACGGGAATGGCCTTGTCAAGCGTGTACGCGGCAAAGTCGTGCACGTGGTTGCGGGCAGTCCACTCTAGTCGTCGCCGCAGCGACGGTGGCGCACATGCAAACCAGTCAAGCGGGAGCGTGGCGACGGTCTCAGATGCATCCGTGCCATCATCATCATCGTCATCATCATCACGCGTGTCGTTGCTCTCGACTGCGATTGCACGCAGCTGTTCCATCTGCGGACCTGTTTGCTTCAGCGATGGCGGCGCTGTTGGTGATGATATCGATGCTGACAGCGATAGTGAAGCCTCTGTCCCCTCGTCCTTTGCCGTCTTCTTCTTCGTCGTCGTTGCTGCCTTTGCAGGCGTGGCGGCCACGCCATCTTCCATTTCGGGCCCATCGCTCGCAGCTGTGAGTGTCGCTGCTGCATTTGTTTGTTTCGGTTCTGTCCTCGTTGCTGTCTTTGTTTCCGTGGGCAGCTGGTTGCTGGCCTTTGTGTCTGGTGTGCGTTCGACTGGCACCTCGACAACAGCGCGGGTGCTCGCATCACCACGCCCCAAAGCAGAGGCTGACGCTGACATTGCCTGTGTCCGTGCTGCTGTTGTGCTTTGGCGAAGCGGTGATGCGGTTGATGATGACGATGCGCGCGGGTGGCTGCGCCCTGTACGCGAACGAGGCGATGTACCTGGAGATGGTGATACAGCAGTTGCAGCCGCACCTGACGCCTTCTTGTTCTTCTTGTTCTTGTTGTTCTTGTTGTGGTTGTTGTGGTTGTTGCCCGGTGAGCGGAATGGTGACGGCTGTGAGGACGCCAGGGAGGTGTTCCCTTTGCCACTGCCCGTGCGTCTTGCACTGCCTCCACGTTGTCCCTTCGATGTCGAAGGAGAAGCAGCAGGACTTAACTTGGCTGGACTCACAGCGGCACCTGTTCGCGTCTTTGTCGTCGTCGTCGTCGCTGTTGTTGTGTCTGCACTACCTGTGGCTGTGGAGCGCTTGTGAGACTGCCGAGCGCTTCGCCCACGCGCCTTGTGTGCGGACTTGCTGGGGCTGGGCGACACACTCGCTGTTGCTGCCGCCCGTCCCGTGGGTGACGCTGCCGTCACCTCCGATCGCCTGTTGGCCGAAATGGGCGCTTTGCTTGGCGATCGCGACCGAGAACGCGACCGCGCGCGAGTGCGTGTGCGTGTAGGCGTGCGTGCACTGCTGGGCGATGCGGAAGCTTGCTTGTGCTTCTTGCGATGGCCTGGCGTGCCCTGGCCACGTTGCGCTGTCGTTGCTGTTGCTGCTGCTGGTGCTGTTGAAGCTGTTGTGGAAGCTGTTGTCGACGTTGTTGTGGTCGCCCCTGCTGCTGGTGATGATGATGTGGTAGCGTGGTGGGCGGCCTTCGGGGACGATCGCACGGGTGATGCTGCCGAGCTGGCACTGCTGCGCTCTGAACGCCTCCCTTTCGGCGAGAGCGAGGAGAGAACTGAATGGGCACGTGCACGGGACGCTGCCGTGGACCGCGGCACAAGTGTGGGCTCTGCCATGCTTGCAAGCACGATGCTGCCGTCATGTTGCACGCGCGTGCCTGTTCGTGTGCGCTGCGGCTTGCGTCGAGGAGACGGCGTGCGTCCGGATGACTGCTGTTGCTGCTGTTGCTGCTGCAACTGGCTGTGCTTCGTTCCTGGGCTCTTGTTCAAGGGCTGCTTCGGCGAAGACGAAGGGCCAGCAGAGGCCTTGGTCGGTGTTTTCCCGCGTGCCCGGCCCACCTTGCCCTTGTGCCCTGCTTTTCCGGCCTTGTGGGGGCTTTTGATGCCTGTGGCAGGAGCAGCAACAGCGCCGCTAGCAGACCGTTTCTTGGTCTTGTCGTGCACGCCATCCACATCTTCGCGTTGAGCAGCAGTGGCAGCTGGTGACTTGGCTGTCTTTGTCGCTGTTGTTGCTGCTGCTGCTGCTGCAGGCGCCAAGGCACCATCCTCCTTGTGTTCCGTCTTGCTGTCGTCACCACCAACACTGCTGTTGTTGTCATCATCAGCATCATCACCGCCCTCATGCATGTTGCGAGCGGGACCGCCCTCATGTGCCAGCCGCTCCTCAAACAGCTGCACATATGTCTTGACCTGCGAGCTTGCTTGGCCAGACTGCCTCTGCCTGTGGTCCACCGGCTGCTTGGGCGTGAGGGTGCCTTTGTCACTGGCTGCCCGCAGCACCTTTGCACGCACATCGCTGCCGGCGTCCTGACGATCTGCCTTGAGTGCTGGAGAGCTCCGTGTCTTGCCAGCGCTGGCGGGGGCACCAGACACCGCTGTCGGTGATGGCGATGGTGATGGCGATGGCGACCGTGACGCTGGCTTCGCTGAATGCCTGTTAGGTGTCTTGGTCTTACGTAGCTCAGCAGCTGCTGTTGTTGTTGTTGTTGTTATTGTTGATGTCGCTGTTGTTGTGTGGTCCGCAGGCGCTGTGGCTGCAGCGGTGGTGGTGGTGGTGGTGGCCTCTGCTTCCAAGCGGCGAAAAACAGCGCTTGCTCTGCGGTGGCGCTCCTTGGCCGCAGCCTTTTCGGCAGCATCCATGTGGCGGCTGGGAGCGGTGTTAGGAGCAGTCAAGGAGTACGGGCTGTGCGCCCCACCGACATAATCGTCCTCGCTGTCGTCTGCATCCTGCACGTCATCATCGCCGCTATCGCTGTAGCTGTCGCTGGCGCCGCCTTGCGGAGAGATGGCGGTGGCTGCTCCATCCTGAGGCAGCCCTTTGAACTCCATCGGCATATCATCTCCTCCGAATTCCAGCCTGCTTCCGCGAAACGTTGTGGCTGCTGGTCGCTTTGAGCCATGCTTGTGCGCCGTGCCCCCTGCCGTCACGCCGGTGGCGGTGGAAGCTGCAAGGTGGCGTTCGTTGCTGGTGCCGGGCTGCTTCTGATGAGGGTATCCGCGCCGCGCACGCCCGTGCTTTCTTGGCATGGGCTGGATGTGCTGGGCGCTGTCGTCGTCGTCGTCGTCATCGTCGGTCGTTGCTCTGTGCATGCTTGCATCGCGAGGGTGGTGGTACTCGGTCATCGCGTACCGGGCACTGTCGCGACTCGTGCGGCTGCCAGTGCTGCAGCTGCGAGACCTCGCTTGGGCGACCGTGCGGTGCGTGAGCATGACCGCAAGTGAGCCCTCCTCGTCTTTGTCTTCTTCGTTTTCTTCATTGTCACTGATGTTGCTTGCACCCTGGTGCACAGCATCCACGTCGTAGTCAGAGATTGCTGCGCCGTCTATCATGCCACCTTCGTCTTCGTCGTCCGTGATGGTCCCTGGCAAACGGTGCAGGTCAGTGCCGCTGCCACCCCCCTCCATCGCACCGTTCAACCAACCGGAAAAGGAGTAGAGATGGAACAAGGGGTGGAACTTGGGATGGGACAGGATAGGGAAGGAATAGGGCAAGCGCAAGGGCAAGCAAGGTGGTGGTGGTGGTTGTTGAGACGGACGGCGGACGGTTGTTGTTGTTGTCGCAGCCAACAAAATTCGCCAAATTCGAAATCAGGTCACGACACCACAAAAATTTGTTGGCTTTGGCTTTGTGTGCTTGTATTTTCACAGCTGGCAAGAAGCAAGCAAGAGCAGATGATGCCAGCAGCACAGCACAGCAAGGATACAGGCAGGGCGAGGGCAAGACGAGCAAAGATAAGAAGCAAGCAACAAGAAAGGCGGCAAAGGAGAGGAGAGCGGGGACAAGGAGCGGGGAGCCTTCACACCACCACCACCATCATTCCCACAAACACAAACACAAGACGCAAAGGGACATGCTGAGTTCACCCAGCACACGTGCACACATACAAACATACATACATACAACGAGAAATGTTGTGACGACGACTACACCAACAGCAGCGATGACGACGGAAAGGAGGGCCGGGAAACGAAAGCACACACACACACACAACACTTGTACGCAGGCAAACAGGCAAGTCAAAAACAAACCTCAATACACAGGTGTGTGGTGTGGCTGTTGCCCCGAGACACGACTCTCACTCTCTCCTTGCACACAGCTTGTAGAAAGCGATGGTTGTGTTGGCTGATCACCCGCGTATCGACTAGATGTCTTGTCCAAAGCTGCGTGTAAACTCCTCAATCTTGCCAAGGTCCTTCGGGTCCACGCTGCGTTTTGTTCGCTCAAGCGCTTGCACCATGTCTCGCTGTAGTTGGTGGGGTGGTGTTACGTTTACGTGGCGCAGGCGTGAGTTGCAATGTGTGTGTGTGTGTGTGTGCAGTGCCCCCACGTGTACACAACGCAAACGCGCCTCCTCATGCAAGAAGATACCCCGATACACGCCACAAATCACCATCATGAAGCGCACCATGTCGACCGGGGGCTCGACAATTGCCTCTGCGGGCATATCCTGCCACGACATAAACTGCTTTGTTGGGTCGCGGTCGCTGGGGGAGCACGGCGTCCAGAACGCTCCAGAGGGCGTCGGATACCCGTTCTCGTCACACTAAAGTTGGGTTGAAAGGGATGTGTGAGGGGTTGTGTGCGTGTAAGCATGTGTGTGTGTGTGTGTAAGCATGTGTGTGTGTGTGTGTGTAAGCATGTGTGTGTGTGTGTGTGTGTGTGTGAGCATGTGTGTGTGCGCGCGCGCGATTGGCAAAGCTGAAGGATGCAAGATACACCCCCAACCCAAGTCAACCCTTGCATGACAACAAGAGCATCACACAACAAACCTTCTTGAACGCCTGGGCGTGTTGCACCTTCCGCACGGGCATCATAATTGCCTCGCGAACCACATTGCAGATGTCAGACCCCGAGTACCTGCCATGTACAGGCAGAAAGGTGGGAAATGTGGAGGCCGTGTAGAAGATCATGCCAGATGCAGCACACGTGTGATGGAGCTCTGTGAGCAGGCTGACTTGTCAAAATGAACACAAACAGCACGCACACAACGGATCCACGCACATGCACACACACACACAACACAAACACACAACGTGAGCATACAACACAACACACACACACACACACACACAACAGCGCA